GATAAACATAATCAAATAGATGATGAACATCTCATTTTAAAATATAAAAAATCTAAAATATAATTAGAATAGTTATCAAGTTCTAACAAAATAAATAATTATTATCTTTATAAAAAAATTATATTATTAAACCGAATATAAATTAATTCGTTATTGTACATAAATTAAGTTTTAAAAAATTTGAATTAAAAAATTACACAAAAAAATGAAGAAATTTCAAATAATTAATTTGATACTAATATCGATATATTTTTGTTAAATTTTTATGATATCTTCAAACATATATTTTATTTAAAAATAAAAATACAATCGCTTTCTCAAAATCACATAAAGCCATATTATAACATCGACTGAGAAAAAAAAGAAAATGAAATATTAAAATCACGATGTATCTCGCTACATTGCACGAGTACGCTTCTAGTTATGCATAATTTACATGTAATCTTGAATTTTAAATAACATGTATATACAATATTTCATGCATAAAAATGATTTTTAAAAGTTTTTATCAAATGCTTTATAATATAGTATAGATTAGAGAAAAAAAACCCAAATTCGTAAAATCAAATGTACATGACAACCAAAAGGGATATATTTTTCGTAAATTACAATTTTGGAAATTAATAAAGCAAGAAAAAGGAAAATAAATGAGAACCAAGATTTTCTTTAAACTCGTCCCCATTTCAAGCAAAGAATTATGCTTTTGGTATCCTTTTTTTTAAATTAAAAAATAAAATAAAAAGATTTCTAAAAAAAAGAACTATAAATTTACAGAATTGCCCTTGTCATGATTATGTCCGTAATAGGATAGATACCATCTAACAAACTTCCGCAACCCGGTTGACAAATCGGTTCTCGGTTTATACCCGAGCTCCCTTTGGGCCAAACTTATATTCGCATGCGTAAACGGAACGTCGCCGTTTCCAGGCATCTCCATCACATTCTTCTTCGCCTTCATCTTCAAATTCTTCTCCAGTATACTCACCAACGCCGGCACAGTCACCGGCGATGTATTACCCAAATTATAAATCCGGTACGGAGCGGGTCCCTTTTTCTTACCACCCGACCCGGTACTCTTACCCGCTGTATCCAACGAAGCCACACATCCTTTCACAATATCATCGATGTAGGTGAAGTCTCGGGCCAAGTCGACCCGATTTTTGCCCCGGTACACAGTTATCGGTTTACCCTGTAGAATATTCCGGGTGAAAGAGAAATAAGCCATGTCGGGTCTGCCCCATGGGCCATAAACCGTGAAGAATCTCAACCCGGTTATGGATAACCCGTAAATATGGTTGTAGGTGTGTGTGATTTCTTCTCCCGCTTTCTTGGTGGCGGCGTAGAGTGAGGCGGGTTGGTCGGTTTGATCCGCTTCGGAAAATGGTACCTTATCGTTTAACCCGTAAACGGAGCTGGAGCTGGCCCAAACAATGGCCGGTTGCGGGTCAGCTGATTTGCATTGTTCAAGTAGTGTTACCAGACCCGCTATGTTACTGTGGATATACGAATTCGGGTTTTCCATGGCGTATCGTACGCCCGCCTGTGCAGCCAAGTGCATGACGTGAGTAAAGGCGACGATATCAAAGAGCTTTGCTAAAAGACGCCGGTCGTTGATGTCACCTTCGACGATGAAGATACGGTGGGATTCGAGCATCGCCCGTCGAGCTTTCTTCAACGACGGGTCGTAATAGTCGTTGAAGTTATCGATTCCGACGACGCCGTCGCCGCGTTTTTGTAAAGCTAGGGATACGTGTGTGCCGACAAATCCGGCGGCGCCGGTGACAAGTACAGAGAGGCCGTTGGAACGACGGATCTGGGCGGAGGAACGGATTTGTTTCTCCCAGTGGAGACCACCAATGCTGCCGCCATGACTCCACGACGACGTGTGTTGTAAATACCGGCTACCGGAAGCGACGAAGCCCTGAAAACTCAAATACGATGCTGTTAAGGCAATCAAAAACAACGCCCAGAGGAACATGGTGCTGGTGGAAGCGAAACACCGGTGAAACGTCCGATTCATCATGTTATGATGTAGACGATCGATCTTAATCTTCCCCGGAGTTGAAGGAAATAATTCTTCCTCCAATGGCGGCATTCTTCAACTAAATATCCAAATCCCAACAACTTTTCTTAAAAATCGAATTCAAATTCAGAAGTGATGATTAGGGTTTTAGGGAAAAGAATCCAAAAAGGGAAGAAATTGGATATTTGAAATTATACAGATGCAGGTAAGATCGAAAGGGAATTTCGTCTGCACCTGCTGAAGGGGGTGAAGAAGAGCAAGGGGATTATATAGTGCGGTGAGGTGCAAAGTATACGCGTGAACACGTCAATGGAGGGGGCCAGCTCGAAGACAGAGAGAGGGTTGATATTGTAAAATGTAAAATAAAGAATATTATAAGAATATAAATTATAAAATTATAAAAAAATAGACACAGCTAATAAGAGGTATTACATAACTGAACATGGTTACCACTCTCCCTACCCCACCCCCATCATATATATTTTAAATAAATAAATTGTTTTTTTTTGTTTTGTTTAATGTTATCAGTCGTCTACCCACGTAATACGACGGGAGCTATAAATTTTAACGATTTTGAAGTTTTACTGATTTTATTATAGAAGATTTAACGATAATATAAGTTACACTTGGTCTTTACATATTAATACAATTTATATGGTTCCAATTACAGTCTATCGATGAAAAAAATTGTATGTCAGTTTAAAATCCAATATATTTAAAATCCAATATATTTAAACGACTCAACAAATGTGTTCGATTTACACCAAGAGCAAATAATCAAGAGATCGAGAATGAGACCAAGAGTTATAGAGCAATTGAATGATAAATGAATAAGAGAACTTTTAATATCTCATGGTGAATATCAGTTTGAATCTCACCTTGTGGGATGAGGATAAGGCATAGAGGTATGAGAGAGTGAAGACATGAGTGAAATGTGTCAAAAGTATGTAGGGAACATGAAAAGAAAGGTAATAATATGCATTGGTAACTTGTATTATATATTATTTTAATCATAGATTAAAAGATTTTAAGTTCGAATGCATAAAGTAGTAGTATTTAATGCATTATGAGTTGTTTTTAAGACTTTTAAGACTTTTTGCATAAATGTATAGTATTTTGTGAATTAAATATTGTTTTTAAGACTTTTGATAGATCTAGTTTATAAGATAGTATAGATAATCAAGTTAAATCATGTATTAATAATATAAAAAGCAGGTTTTGATGTTGATGTGTGTGAAAACAAAATCATTTAATAGGGGTACATTTAGCAATGTATAAAGTGCAATTAGTCTACCCTTTAAAAATACATGATATGTTAAGTCTGATGGTTATATGATATAACTAGTTCGGTTTAGTTTAATTTGCTGTAATACGATGTTAGAAGTTTCGTTTAATGGTCATGTGGTAGGATAGTTGTTTGGCTTTATATGTTTTCCGTTTTACATATGAAAGATTTTTCTTAACTGAAATTGTTATTCTACAAAGGTTGAAGCATCCTTTTATGCAATGTCGACTGATGTCAAGTAAGAAGGAATTGAAGTTTTTTCTCAGGTAAATTTCTATGGGTCCACTCGATGTTTTTTAACAGATTGCAGTTATCTGTTAATTGGTTTTATCGTAGTTTTAAAAGTTATCCAAGTTTTTATTTGCATGCATACTTGACCTAATACCAATAAAGCTTTATTTAATGAATAGTTCGTTTGTTACTAAAGCGAGTCTCTTTATGTTGATAAGACATTTGTAACTGATTTTTTTATATCTTTCAATATATCGTTTATTTACTGATTATTAGATATTAACTACTTACAGTTTTTTTTTTTAAAAAATAGAACTCGTTGGATTTAAAGTGTATTATACTGCAAGTTGAGACAATGCATGTCTAATTTTATTATTTTAATTATCCGTGGTAACTCTAAAACCCGAAAGTAACATAAAACATAAACTTTCTGGTATATCTGGGGTAACTCTAAAACCCGACAGTAACATAACATAAAATATAAAGTCAATAGGTCAATCCTCAGGGTTACTTATAACTTAAATTTTTTCCCGATATATCTTTTTAAAATCTTGTAAAATCAAATGTAGCTTAGGGGTTGTTTGACTGTTGTTGAATGGTTTGGTGCAGAATGATTAAGTGATCAGAATGATTAAGGGGCTTTCATGATATAGTGCAAAATGAAATATAATTGTTTGATAATTGTTTACAACGAAATCAGGACGCTTAATGGTTAAGGGAGGCTCAGGATACAAAATCATTCAGAGGGTTTTAGAAGCATTAAGAGGCAAACTTCTTTTTTCCCAAACAAGATTCACCTCTTAATGATTCAGATGATGTCTCTTAATGAAACTATTAAGAAGTAAACAAACAACCCCTTAATTGATAAGATGTTAAATGCGGTCACTACAGATCACCAGTTGACTTCCCCTCCGAGACATTGTTGGGTTTGTCTGGTTGTTAATATCAAGCACCATGGAATTAACCGAGAGTAAACTGACACAAATATTTATGGTTATAAAAAAGAAAACGTAATCCGTTGTATTCACTAAATTAACGTTAGCGGTACATTCTCGTGACAATACAATACGTAGCTTTCCGTGTATGAAACAAAATACAAAATTGGCATAGTTTCTATTAGGCCGAAAGTGTAATATACTCAAAGATGAATAAAATGTTATAGTTTTAACGGAACAAATAATTAATAAAAATAATAGGCGATTTAGGGACTATAGAATGATTTGGGTAAATACAGGGACTAAATATGGATAGTTCATAGCATTTGAAGGATGTTTATTGTAACTTGTGTATAAAATAAAAATAAAATAAAGGGAAACCGGCTGAACCGGTCACATAGAAAAGAATGAATATAAGTTCGGCGAGAAACGGGCCAACCTACATTTGACTGTGTGGGTGGAATCTCACTATGAAGGTCCCCTCTTGGGCGGTGCTCATTCTCAGCTATTTTATCTATATTATATTATAATTTAAAAATTATTTTTTATACGTAAAATATTGTTTATTAATACATATTACTTAAAATTTAAGATTGTAAGTAGATTGTGCATAAGTACAATTTATTAAAGTTTCATATTTGAATTTGTGTAACTAACTGTGGATAAACATAATTAGATAAAAGATAAACATCTCATTTTAAAATATAAAAAATCTAAAATATAATTAGGATAATTATCGAGTTCTAACAAAATAATTAACTATTATCTTTATGATAAAATTATATTACTAAACCAAATATAAATTACTTTATTATTGAACTTAAATTAAATTATAGTTAAAAAAATTGAATTGAAAAATTACACAAAAATGAGGAATTTTAAATAGTTAATTTGATACTAATATCGATATAATTTTGTCAAAATTTTATGATATCTTTAAATTTATATTTTATTTAAAAATAAAAACATCATCGCTTTTTCATAATCACATAAGGCCATATTATAACATCGATTGAGATAAAAAAAATGAAATATTAAAATCAAGATATATCTCGCTGCATTGTGCGAGTATCCTTCTAGTCTGTTTTAAAGGAGAGTTTATGATTTGGTATCATCTCAGATAAGGTTGTTTTTGTGAGATACGTAATACATGATTTTTATATTTAAAACTTTACAGTAAAACATTGTGAAGGTAACATTCACAGTGTTTTTGCTGTAAAGATTCATCTGTTTTTACCTTCACAACATTTTGTTGTGAAGTTTCAAATGTAAAAACTGTGTCTCATGAAAACAGTTTTGTCTCATGTGAATCCAACCCTAGAGTTTATTTCGAATCAAATTTATCTGATTCATATGAATGTTTTATATTATTTGAATCTTGTGAATTACGAAATCGAACATATAGATATTATGGATTAGGAAAACGTTATCAATTCGTTGTTTCGTGAAATGAATATTTATCAATCTTTGTTATAAGTTATGTCAATCTCATATCAGAGAAATCATTATCTGATTTAAGTAGATATATACAGTGGATTTGGATCTCACTGAACCGACACTAGAGTATCAAAGAACACTTCTGTTTTAGTCGATTTAAATGTATTATCATCATATTCACTGTAATTATTTAATGTAGGAAAAAAAACGTGAAATAATACATATTCTATTTTCTTGTAGTTACATTCTCTCTAAAAAAAGTTAGTTTGATAATAATATCGATAGACAATCAACGATAGATATTTAGTTGAAAATGGAAGTCTCTCGATGTTGAGAGATTGTTGACGATGAATGGAAAAATTACTATAGATATGGGTACGATGAATCATAAAAGATAGCGTATCTAATGGTCGTATAGTCATGTCTGTTTATTTCAGTACAAATTCAACTAAATAATCCAAACTTCCATTCCATTTAATAAATCTGGTTTTGTGCATCTGTATCGAGTATCATAAGAGACTTACGTAAACATACCCTTGATTTACTTGAAAAAGATATCAAAGGCTTATTTTTTTTATTATCTGTTATAATGGGTGGTTTTTGATCTATGTTATAAATCAGTATTGCTAATAGAACATGCGTCTTTTTCTTTGTATTTTTACTTCTTTTCGTTACATATTTGAAAGAAAAAACTATTTTATCAATTACATACGTAATACCATTAATTACATTAATTCTGTATTTTTAAACAAATTACACAACATAAATATAAAAAATGGTACAGATCATTCAAGCTTTCTGTACCAGATTATTTCATCATCATGCTATTTTCTTTAGTTGACATTATCATCAGTTAATATCGACTCATCTATACAAATCTAAATAACGGAGGATATGTATTCGCTTGAAAAGATTTCAAATTTGGTCTAGTTTATTGATTTTGTCGATTTAAATGGATTTTTGTCCACCCTGAATTCAAGATCGCAGAAATTTTATTAAGAAAATGGAAAAATAAAAAAAGAAAACCGGCCAAAAAGATGAAATAACGTACACGTGAAGTAAGTTAAATATCTTTTTGTTTATAAGAATGATAAATTGTATATAAATAAGCATATATTTATTTAGTTCATATCTATATATATATACTATATTATAAACATTTGACAAAAACTTTTAAAAACTATTATTTATGCATGAAGTATTGTTAATTAATGCATAATACTTAAAATTTAAGATTACAAGTAAATTGTGTGTAAGTACAACTTATTAAAGCTTCAATTTTGAATTCGTATAACTAACTGCAGATAAACATAAT